AGAGAGAGAGAGAAACTTGATTGCAAATCTGTTGGTCACTTTTCTTTTCCACATCACGTTTCATAATTGTGTTAGTTTCGCCAAGATTTCTTCCCATGTATCTTTGAATAGTTCAATTGGAATATTATCAACAGCCGGGGACTTCCCATTTTTCAGTTGGTTTGTCGCCCAATGCATTTCTTCTACCTCTGGTTCATCTTCGTAATCATCTATATTTATCCACTACTCTAATTGTAAGTCCTTCTCATGTAACTTTTTCGTGTATTTTCCCCATTTTTTCGTGACCTCTTCTTTTGTTGTATTTATTTTGTCGTTCTCGTTCTTAACATTCTCCATCGTTGGTTTACACTCCGTGGTCATACTTCGGATGAGCTGGAAAATTTCTTAAGATCCATTTGTTATGTTCTTCCACTTCTTCGCTTTTTTTCTTGAATAAACTTTTCCTTATCTTCTCTTGGTCTGGGCTCCGTTGTACATAATAATAATAATAATAATAATAATAATAATAATAATAATAATAATGATGATGATGATGATGATAATAGGCACGCGCTTGGGGTAATAACCAAAGTATGTATACTATAGTATTTATTATATCATACTATATAATCCATCGAATCTTCACTTCGATGTCTGAATTTCCCAGATTTATAATAATTGTGAAACTTCTTTATATTTCACGGAAAAAATCTCGAGTTTTCTCTGAGGGTCTGATTCAGTCTGTCCATAGTGAAAACTATTGAGCAGGTTGCTGCTCCGAATGCATCGGGCGGTTGTTCTTTCATCGCCACCTGCTGCACAGGACTAGGGCAAAGTCGTCAGACGAACGAGCCGGGACTCGGGTAAAGTTACCGTGGAGGAGGGGACCTGGGATTTCCAAATCCGATATGGGACTGGAACGTTCGCAAATAGACAATGTGGAGAATGCTCACACCAAGTTCACTGATTGGCTCGCTTACTTGGTGCCCTTCTCCGCTTTACTCTTCCTGCTCCACGCCTACGCTCTACTCCGTCCGTTCATTTACGAGCCACCTCATTCTTATAGTGGGGAGCTGACTTGATTGCGAAGCTGAGAAATGCGCTCGGTGTTCTTGGAAGCCCCCCCCCCCCACCCGCCTAATCGGCACCACTAGCTGTCCCAAATACATTATGCCAAGAATCCATAGGCAAAAAATTAAAACATTTTACGAGAATAAAGCCAAACAAATAAGCAATAATCGGAATGCCATCAATGTGGAATTTTTATTTTCCAAATTATGCCCTTTTCTTACCGAGTACTCAAGCTGCCCCGCCGGCTTCAAATCCTTCTTTTTTAATTGATGTCACAGTTCGAACAGATACTCCAGTATAGCTTTACTACCCGAAAAATTTGCTGTTATGCCAGCGTGTGTTGAAGAAGCGAAAGTGTAAATACCGCTGAGCTTTCCCAGAAGCACTTAATTGTGAGCACGAGTTAACGTCTGGTGTGCGATGTCGGAATGCGCGAATAATTCGGTCCTTATTGTTTTGAAGAAAACGAACGCGCATTACCGGTGAATGGAAGCTCGTTACAAGCGGAACATGATCGAGAAATTTTTCTTTCAAGGGACTCAAAGAAATGAACGTTAGGAACGTGTGGTTTCAGCAAGATGGAGCCACAGCACAACAGCACGAACACAATGAATTTGTTGCGAACATTTTCCCGACCGCCTCATCTCCTACAGAGCGATCTCCAAGGCCGGCACGTCTCCAGATTTGACTCCAGCGATTTCTTTTTATGGGGTTATTTGAAATCCCTGGTTTAGTCATCGACCACACCATAGCACACCTCAAAGAACAACATTCGCGACCGCATTGCCAACATACCGATTAGATATGCTGCAAAGAGTGGATTAAGAATTCAAAAATCGACTTCATCAGTGTATGCGCAATGGAGTCGCCATTTATCCGATGACATTTTCTAAGACTGCATGAAAAAAAATTGGGATATTTGTATTCTCAAATAAAAAAAATTAAAATTAACTGAATTATTTGTTTTTATTGACCTTTCAAATAAGTAAGTTTCTCTGGCGCACCCTGAATATTATTTAGAGATTCACTAAATGAACTATTTAAAGCAGATAATCGCCTTTTTGAGATCAAAAATCGAGCGTATACTCCGATCGTTCTTTCCGGTTTGTAACAACGGAAGATCTTAGAGTAAGGTGGAATGAAAACGGAAGACCTTAGAAGTAAATTATCTCTAAAATAAGATGTGAGATGGAATAATGGTGACATTTACAGAAATAGTTCAATTTTTTAAAAAAACAGTTCCAAATCGCAATCGATATTTTGAGTAATGCCTCAAACAATTTGAAGATGGTATTCGAAGGATGACGGAAATATGTGAAAAAGATAGTTATGTAGTACAATTGCAGACCATTTTCCTCGGTCTGTAATAGTAGTATAGCGCCTCTAGTTTGATATCAGTGGAAAAATAGATTGAGATGCAAAGTGACGAAAGCATAAACCGTCTTGCCTGTCCCGCCTCCTCCGCCGGGCCGACATTGGGCTAACAACGGGCGGGTGTTTGACGCAACGGCGCGAAATGATGATGGGGAGGGGAGGTGTTCAAATTTCACTTTACTAGGCTCCTCTTCGATGTGCATCACTGTCACGTCGTTGGATTCAGGAAGCATGTCGCCATCACGCTATACGCCCACATTTTTTTAAATTTTTTCTCGAAAGTTTTAGAATTCGAGTTTTTGCTAGTTTTGGAAACAGGGCTTCGCAACGTAAATTCTATTTTAAAAAGGCGTCAAATGCCGTTTACACATCGAAAATCGGACCATTGGTTCGGACGTTATAGGTAAAGTAAATTTTACTTATTTTGGTGCTGGCCACAAATTGTACTAGTGGCAGCTATTTGGACAGTGTTTCGGATCATTGTACATGGAGGATACACATAAATTCTTGCAATATACAAAACTGTACTTGTCCAGAGATAAAAAGAAAATATACAAAATACCTGGGTACATTGCAATTTAAAATGGGGGTACCATATATCTTAATTTATTTGCAATCTTTGATCTCATTTATATTTTTTATAAAATTACTAAACAAAACAACTTCTAATGATATTTTAAGCATTTTATTGGTCTATCGCTACATATGGTATAATTGCTTGCTCTTCAGAAATCTTATATAGAGAAAATAAAATAACTGATATTAGGAAATATTTTATGTTGAAGTCAGTCTTGGAAAATTTCTCTTATTTACAAAATATCTATGAAATAAAAGTAAAGGCCAATCAAGAAGTTAAAAAGGATATTGATAGAAGAAATTTTGAATATATCAGTTATAAAGTTTACAATTTGCTTCCACGTAATTTGAAAATCTTGAATGTAAATAGCATATCAACTAAAAGTATGATAAAATACTGGTTGATAAACTCCTCTGAGATTGGTTTGAAGACCATTATTGAGTAATGCCCTGTTTGCATTAAAATCCTTCATCTAAGTTATACTACACCTATTGTAATTTATATTTTAGCTTTAATATATGTATTGTAATTAGAAAATATGTATAGATTTTTTGATTTTTCTTTTTAATTTGTATTTCATTGAGTATAGTTTAATAAAGATTTTCTTTTATGAAATTAGTTCTAATGTATTTAGTTGACAAAAATTGTTTCCTTTTTTTCCTACTTATATTTTTATTTCTTTACAAATGTACGTTTTGCGATATCATGTACAAAATGCGATTTGCAGGTTCACGCACTGCCTTTAGCCTCAGCGAGGTGGGGAGTATATGTATTGTATACCTTATGCATTATATATATTTATGTTCCTGAATGTATACTACTGATATTTCAAGAATACAAAAAATTAACTACAAGCAAGAGAAAACTTACAAAGAGAACACTATGTAGCAACAGTTTTCAGCATGCACGCACATCGAGATATGAAATATCACTGAATCTAGTGTAAAGAGGAAGAGAGAACACCCTCTGGAAGACAAGTAAAGAATTACAGTACACAACATTCAAAAACTACTTTTGCTCAATTCTGCAAACCTAGAACAAAATATTCAACATTGCAACTGAAGTTGCAAGTAAGGTAAGCAGGCCCTTTTCAAAAAGGGCAGAATCGATGATCTTTGCATTTTTTTCTAGAGTGCAGAGGGGCATATAGGTATTCAAATAATCATCCTCCATGGTCTTATGGCAGTATGACTATTCCTTCATGAAAAATACAATGAGGGATAATCAAATTCTGTAGCTAAGTAGTCTGCAAGTAGATTTTATTTCATAAAAGCAATTTTTTTTTTCTTAGCAATTCTAGCCACAATACTCATTTCCTCCTATATTTATAACTCAATTTGTATATGAGGTAGGGTAGGTAACTCAGACCTCCAGAAAACTTGCAAAAATTCACTTTTCCCAACAGTAACATCTCATGGAATGTTTACCAATTCTGAAGTCAAATAGATAAACAAATAATTTATAGCTAAAATTTTTTTCATGCAGCAAAACATTAAAAACATTTCATTGCGACTATAAAGCAATTTTTTTTGGTAAAAACTATACATTTATTTACAATTACAATTTATTTACAACATAAAAACATTTCTTCAAGTCTATAAAAAATTCTTAAAATGTAGTCTTCCTGAACTAAAAATTCATTAACTATAATTCACAGGCGCTTGCTTCTGGATTTCATTAAACCCACATCAACCTGAAATAAGAAAAGATACTTTTGAAAATACAACTATGCCAACAAAACAGAAGTCAGTTCTTAGAAACAAGAGACTACATGCATATAAAAAGATATCCCACCACTGAATCCTTTCTATAATTATTACTTTCCCTTATATGGAGTAGTATATGAAGTATAGGGAAAGTTATGTAATGCTGTGAAAAATCGACTTCGAGATTTCAATGGGAAATCACATTTTAGTGTCCCCTGATACCAAAAAAGTGTGTTTTTTGTTTGTTTGTTATTTTAACCCAAAAAGTGGTTAAAAAAAGTTTTATCAAACAAATTTGACATCTAAGACTAGCTTTACTGGTTTTTTTAACGTTCTTCAAATAATATTTCCATTCTATTAGAAAGCAGAAAATTAAGAAAGAAAGGAAAAATAATAATACTTCAGACAGTTGTCACGGCGATATGTGGCAAGTCCGATAGCTAGCCGAGACCAATGGTAATAACCAACTAATACGGGAAAGTCTGTGCCATTCTGTTGCACGACTAGTTATTATAATTATGTTTCTCTTGTATACATATGTATATACAGAGTAATATACCAATAGTATGTAGATCTTTATGCAATGCAGTAGCAAAAAGGATCTATGTTTGACATTTTTAAAGCACGTTATTGATCATTTTGGGCAATGTATTAGGTCATCACATTATGCCCCCTAATCATCAGATATATTTCTATTATCAATTAAGCATTGAAAATAGACATTCATTTGCAACATGGAAGCTTGTAAAGAAGACAACCGCAGAAAATCTAGTAAAGCCTTGTGGATGGTTGTGTAACGTATTAGCCAGTGTGCCTCGTGGCATTATTTGGGGACGCTTGGTAAGGGATTAGTAAGAGGAAACTCCTCGCCACAGGAAGGAGAGTAGGGTTTTTCCTTAAAGCAAGAACGT